TTCAGTCCCACTCCTTTTGCTCTGGTTTCACATCTCTGACGGATCGATCTACCTCCTGTATGAATGTTGACTAGGAACAGGGACACAGGAGGGCCCCTGATTATGCTAGATATGACTGGATTTCCTGATACCCCAACTACTCTTTAGACAGATCCTCAGGAAGTGCCCATGTTTGAGCCTCACCCCACCCAGAAGAGAATGGTCTTTAAATACCAGGGCAGAGAGAGGTATATAGCCAGGAGGGGACAGGAGCTGATGATCAGTCTGATGATTTCATAGAGGTAAGAGCTCTAGTGGCTGGCTGCTCTGCTTCTCTGGTCTTTCAGCTTTCACCCTCTAATATCTGACTCCAGGGTTTTATTATTAAGACCAATTAGAACTCAGACTCGTGCAGGTCAAGAGTGATGGCAACTGGAGACTCTGGCCTGCAGGCCTCACATAAACATCACTTTCCTGAGATAGGTCAAGGTAGGGAACTAGGTGTCAATACCTTCTGCAGGCCTCGCATAAACATCACTTTCCCGAGATAGGTCAAGCTAGGGAACTAGGTGTCAATACCTTCTAGAAACTAGAAAAGTTTGAATGGAAGATGTGTCGAAGGGAATATACTTGGGATTATTGGATGACCTATGTCTCTGGGACCCAAACACCCAGCTGCCTTCTGTCCTTCACATCCTCCTGGCCATACAGCTCTTCTGAAATGTATCTCCTTGAGCTATTCCTGCTGGTGTTTGTGTGGCGCAGGCACCATGGCAGAAAGCCAAGAGCTGCCTTCAAAGAGTTTTGAAGAGATGGCTCAGTGGGTAACGGTGACTTCCGCCAAGTGGCCTGAGTTTCATCCTCATGACCCATGTGGTAGAAAGAGAGGACTGACCCCTGCAAGTTGTCCTCTGACTTCCACACACACACACACACACACACACACACACACACACACACACACACACAAATGAACCTTCTAGTGAAGACCCTATGACACTGCATCAGGAACAGAAAACATTTTGTCACCCATGTGCGGCAGTATCCACAGGTAACCCCAGCATTTAAGAGGTGGAGGCAGGAGGATCCCTAGCTATGTGTGTCCGAAAGTATACAAACCCCATGCAGAGTTGTAGACCATGGGTGGCTGTCACACGCTACGTATGGTGTATGTCTCTACTGTCTACTGCATTGGTACAACCCTGTAGGTTCATATATTTGAGTGTTAGGTTCCCAATTCTTGGATTGTATGTTTGGGAAAATGTGGCCTTGTTAGAAGGATGTGCTTTGCTAGGGGTAGGCTTTGAGGTTTGCAAAGCCCACACCAGGCCCAGGACACACTCTCCCTGCTTGCTGCCTGCTGCCAGGATGTAGGCTCTCAGCTGCTGCTCCGGCACTGTGTCTGCCTGCCTGTCGCCATGCTCTCTGCAGTGATAGCTGTGGACTAACCCTCTGAAGCCATGAACAAGCCAGTGAGCACCACCCATCCGTGGCCTCTGCGCCAGCTCCTGCTTCCAAGTTCCTGCCCTGACTTCCTTCAGTGGTGAAGGAGTGGGGAATCATAAGCAAAACGAACCCTTCCCTCCCCAGTCTGCTTTGGGTCGAGGCGTTTCATCATAGCGCGTTTCATCATAGCTGTAGAAACCCCGACTAAGACAGGCACATAGAGGTTAAAACAAAATCTCTTGCCCTCCTAGTAACTGGTAGAGTCAAGATCTGATGGGACCAGGGCAGGACCGACTGCTTGCATCCTCTGTCTCTCGACCATGCACACGGCCACATTGCCTATTGCAGGGATTTCCTTCTCTGTGCATATTAGTGACTGAGTTGGGGGCCATTGTGAGCAAGGACCAAACCCCTGCTCCCCACCCCGGGAGGGAGGATTCCAGAGGAGATCCTGCCACTTTGCCTGTTTTTCTTGAATGCTCCCCAGACAGAGAGCTCTAGCCTTTAATTTGCCAGGTGTCTCTTACTGCAACAATAGCAGAGTCAGCCTTTAGCTGGAACCCTGCCTGTAGCTGGAATCTGTGACCTGGAGCTCAGAGGCCAGCCTCTGACAGGACATGGCTGGGGTGGAGTTCCCTGGGCCTCATCTGTAAAAAGCTCCAGCATGAGCCATCCCCTGTCTGGTGAAGTCCAAGGAAGCGGCATGCAGGAAAAGAAGGACCAGGCTAAAACAGCTCCTCTTCGCCTCTCTGGATTTTCTTCCAAAATGCTGTCAGCGCTGCCAGTTGGAAAATACTCTTCTCCCTCCCTTTGTCTTCTTTCTTATTTAAAAAAAAAAGCCATCTGGTGTCAAATTCACTCCTGGCACATCATAAAGGGTAGCACTAAAAATGTCCCTGAAAAAACTAAAAGCAACACCACAGCCTTACACATGAATTTAATCGCAGCATCCCATAATTTCACAGTTGCTAGGAGCCCGGAGATCAAATCCCTTCCCATACACACAGGAAGAAACCGAGGCCCAGAACCGTTAGGTCACTCGAAAAGGTTTATTGTGAACCTACTATGCTCAAAACACTCCAGGTGCCAGAGGTAAATGGTTAACACGAAGCCACAGCATTCTCTGTTGCCTTGGAGTTCTCAGTGGGAGGGAGGTTCCTGCCTGGGTCCCGGGGCCTAAGGCAGGAGTCCTGGGTCCTGGTCCAGTGTCAGCAGCAAGCTGTGAGCACATTTTCTGCTGCTTGTACCTTCCCCACCCCCTCCCCTTCCCCCGGGAGCTGCCATTAACTGAGGAGGCCTGCAGCCCTCTGCCCCTGTCCCAGGCCCAGTTCGTCATCTTCCTAGCTTCCTCTGGTCTCAGCTTTGACTCCCGCATTCCTCACGGTTGAGCAACTTTCCCTCCCAAGGCGCTAGGCTGAGAGGCCAGGCGAGCCTTGTGCTGGGCTCTCTCAGGATGCTTGGTTTTGGGTGTCTTGATGGCAGTGCAGTCCCAAGAGAGCAAGAGCGCTGTCACCAAGCCCTCCCCAGCCAAAGCCTGCCTGAGAGCTGGCACACAGAGTCTCTGTGTGTTTGGGGGGACTAATGGCTAGGAGGCCTTCTCCTTCCTGTGACTTTGGCCGGATGACCGCCCAGACCAGTTGGTGTGTGAGTCTAACCCTGACCTTGACCATGGAGTTGTTGTAAATTGACTATCAGGCCAAAACCCGACCATACTGGGATGCTGGGTGAGCCCACAGTGTTGATTTGTCTCAGCTTTCGACTCCAGTCCTTTGACAGCCAACAGAGGAAGGTCTGTAGTGATGCCAGAAGGGGGCTACCAGCTGAGTCCTTGGTATCTAAAGGTTTGCTGCTGTCACAAGACTATAACCCCCCCCACCCCCACTCCTCCCCCCTCCCCCTCCCCCTCCCTCCCCTCCCCCCCTTGTCCTTTGAGTACAGAACTTCAGCCTATCTCTGGAAGAACACTGGTTTCTCGTTGCTTGGCTTTCTTTATAAGTGAACTCTTTCTGGCACACAGACCCCAGGAGCTCAGACGCACACTCTGTGCAAGCCTCAGGCCTCCTGCTTCCTCAGCTCCAGGAGCCGGGTGTGGAGTCTGTGCGGTGGAGAGGGGTTAGAGAAGAGGCTAACTTGGAGACCATTTGGCTGGGTCACTGCCGTCCGTATCCAAGGCTCCAAACCCAATGCTTGGTACCTAGTGGGGGTTCAACGAAGAGAATTGAAAGGGCGAATGGTTGCAAAGTGATCTTCAGATTCCTTGGAATTCGATCCATGAGGCTGGAGAGATGGTTCTGAGGTTAAGAGTGCTGGCTGCTCTTACAGAGGACCTGGGTTTGGTTCTCAGCACCCACATGGTGGTTCACGACCTTTGGTAACTCCAGGCCTAGGGGAGCTGATGCCCTCTTCTGGTGTCCATAGGCTCGGCATGCATACATACATGCATACATACAGGCAAACATGTGGCACATACAATTAAAAAAACATTTAAAAAAGAAAAGACTTGGGCTGGAGAGATGGCTCAGAGGTTAAGAGCACCGACTGCTCTTCCAGGGGTCCTGAGTTCTATTCCCAGCAACCACATGGTGGCTCACAACCATCTACAATTCAATCTGGTGCCCTCTTCTGGCAGAACACTGTATATGTAATAAATAAATAAATCTTTAAAAAAAAAAGACTTAGGTCTATAATCTCCTTCTTGCTCTTGACCTTTTATTATTTACTCACTTATTTATTTTGGGTTTTTGAGCCAGGGTTTCTCTGTGAAACCCTGGCTGTCCTGGAACTCACTCTAGAGATGGGGCTGGCCTTGAATTAGAAGATTGGCCTACTCCTGCCTCTTGAGTGTTGGGATTAAAGATGTGAGCCACCACCCACTGGCTTGTCATGACTCTGTAATTTTTTTATTTTTATGTGTACGAGGGTCACCACAGACATGAAGTACATGTGGAGACAGACTGAAGAGGGTGTCAGATCCCCCGGGACTGGAGTTGATGGACAGTTGTGAACATTCCTGTGGGAGCTGGGGATCAAGCCTCCTCCTCTACAAGAGCAGCCAGAGCTTTAACCCTCTCCTGCGCCTGGAGTCTTTTTTTCTTTTTAAGGATGTTTGATTAATTATTGTTCTTACTCTGATACACTTTCACATAGCTTAGGCTTGGTCTCTAACTGGCTGTGCCGGTGAGGATGACCTTAACCTTCGTCCTCGCCTCCAGCAGCTCCGGTCTGTGTGCTGGCATTACAGGCCTGCATCGACACACTGGCCTATGTGGTGCTAAAACCAAACACAGGCCTCTGTACGTGCTAAACAAGCACTCGGCCAACAAAACTATATCCAAACCTCTCGTTTTAATGAACAAAACTTGGGTTTTTGTAGCAAAGGTAGTACAGGGAATTTATGCAAGCTTTTAAGCCAGTTTCCTCAAAGTTAACTTCTCCACCCAGCCATGGGATATTTGTCAAAATGGAGAAACTTGACATAGCCACCACACTCCTAGACAAACTGCAGATTTTATTTGGGATTTCACGTTTGCCCATCCCCCCCCCCCCCCGTGTGTGTGTGTGTGTGTGTCTGTGTGTGTGTGTGTGTGTGTGTGTGTGTGTGTGTGCGCGCGCGCGCGCGCGCGTGCATCCCTTCAGAGACACTATCTTGCTTTAGGGAGTTAAGCCTTCCACTACAGTGTAATCCACTCTCCTTGTGTGGGGCATTTTCCCCGGGGATGAGGCAGGAAGCAGAGTCCTTGGCACAGACTGAGCTCTGTCCTGAGGCCTAGGAAACACCTTGAGCCCAGGATTTCCTACTGGTGCTATTAAGGGATGCTGGCTCTGAGAGCACCTGGGAGAAATCCAGATTCCCAAAGCCTCCGTGTCCCCATCCTCCAAATATATACACCTGGAAGAGAATGGAGACGCTGTTCCCACTTACAGCATTTTCGCTGGACCTGATTCATCTGACTCCCCTTCCTTCCTTGGTCTTCACAAGGGGCAAGCCCCTACCCACCACCCCTTCTCAGCTTTCTTCCTCCTTTTTTTGATCGTCTTCTGACCCCAGGCCCTCAGGGGGACAGTTTCTGGGTGGTTGAAGCTCCCGGGAGAGTTAGTCTTGAAACTACAGAGGAGTGAAAGACAGTTCAGTCAGGAGCGTGTCATAGAGAGAGTGACAGGTGATGAGAGTGAATAATTGTATGTCTTGTGGGATGGGCCCCTTGGCGTGAACGTGTGTATGTAGTGTATGCATGTGTGTGGCAGGCAGCTCATAGACAGGGCCTGATGCTGGGCCGGGACAGCTTCTCAGATGAAGTCATGCGGGAGTTAGGACTTGAAGGATGGATGTTGGAGACCATAGGCCAGAAAGGCCATCAAGGCAGCATCAATAGCAGGTACAAGATGTAATAACATAGGTGCTTTTGAGGGGGACCTAGTAAGGGTCTCACGGCAGTTTACAACAAGGGCCTTGGAGAGCAACAAGGGGGAAGCCGGGCTGTGGGAAGATCTGCAGCCAGAGGTCACTGAGGGCCATGAGCCATGGAATTCCTAGCTTGGCCCTTTGGAAAGCCCCGTGGGTTGTGGACTAGAGATTGGGGACTGATGTTGGGCATGGTGATGGCGCACGCCTTTAATCCCAGCACTCAGGAGGCAGAGGCAGGAGGATCTCTGTGAGTTCGAGACCAGCCGGTCTACAAGAGCCAGTTCCAGGACAGTCTCCAAAACCACACAGAAACCCTGTCTCGAAAAAACAAAAAACAACAACAGCAACAAAACCTAAGTGAGAAACAGGGAGACCTGGGCCAGAGTAGTAGGACTGGGTACGGGGGACAGACTTCAAGGAATGTAGAGGGTAGTGCTTAGAGAATGGCTTGGCAGGGTGTTGGTGGGACCGAAAGGAGTTTAGTGATTTCAAAGTTCTCCTTGCCTGGAGAAGGAAGAACCCAAAGAAGAAGCAGGATGGGAATGGGTGGCGGTGTCCTTCCCCAGAAAATCGTCTTGGGTGGGTATGGCAATGAACTGTGGAGCAACTAGGTTGGCTGCATTTTCCCCCCAACCCCCCACTTCCCCCTACCACCCCCCTTCACTTCTAAAGGGGGCTGGTCCCAGAGTAGTGAGGGAGAAGCAACCTGGCAACTGCTGGCTTGTAGTTCCTGAGAGCCTGGTGGGGTGGGACCACATCGAGGGAGGAGGCCTCCAAGAGTCGTGGGGTTAGAGACGGTCAAGGAGGCACAGTTTGGTCCTAGGGAATCAAGAGAAGGCATTGGGTCAGTTCAGGAGCAGAAGCCAGAGCGGAAGTCAGTACCCTTCTCTAACCCGGATGTAGAACAGGGAAAGACATGGGATTTTCACCGGAAATCTGAGAGTTGAGGAATTGAGCAGGCCCATGATGCCATCTTTAGACAGACCCGGTAGAATTCTGAAGTGGCTGAAGTCTCCCCCCCGAGGCCCTGTCTGTCCTCTGTTTGATATGGGAGGGGCCCAAGTGCCTGCAAACACCTGTGTAGGTGGCTTGGAAGCCAGGAAGAGACCAATAACAGAAGTCTACTAACTCCCCCATGCAGACAGTCCGGCTCTTTGCTGAATACTGTACTCGGGACGGGGGTGGGGGGCTGTGAAGGGTCTGACACTGCACCCTACATACAAGCTAACAAATGAGTCCACCCATATCAGGTCTCCTGGTAAAAGTCAAGCCTGCTGGGTGAGAGATGAGAACTGTTTACTGCTCACTGCAGTGGCAGAAGCAGTTGCAATGGTGTCAGAGCTCCGGGTCCCCAGGTCCTCCAGGGCTTTGCCGAAGGATTGCAATTCAGCTAGGGAACCCTGATAAGGGGAACCCAAAACATTTATGATGGACAGAGGCTTATTTCATATCAGGCAGCATGCTCACCCCTGTATACCCCGTAGCTTTGTTTGTTATGTCCTGGAAACGATCACCTGGAACAAAAGACACTCAGAGGATGTGGAAGAATGGAAGAGAACCATGGGAAACTCTTTCCCTGCAAAAAAACATAAGTCGTAGAGAACCAATATTACATTCCCCTACCCTTCCTGCAGCTACATGTAGCCATGTAATTAAGCTACCATCTCTTA